CTATTTTTTTATTATTAACATCAATACATAGATTTATTTATGTGTTAAATTAGGTATATAAATACAATGTAGGTATTATCAACGTTTAATGTTTAGTGCATGCAGTGAGAAAAATAGGTCTCTTCTCTCGTATATTTCAAAATTTTCTTGTATGCAATTACAGGTCTATTCTTGAATGAATATTGTTCTAAAAACAGACATATTATGTATAATCTAGTCTTATTTATTTAAAATTTTACTCATTGTGTTAACGCTGTTTCCTGTGATTACAATAAATCTTGTGCACAAAATCAAAAATTGTGAAACACTTTATTTAATTTACGAAGGTATTTTATTTCATTTTAAAATGAATAAATCAAGTGTTATTTGGGATTTTTTTTTCAACTTGAAGCAGTTTATATTCATGTAAAGTGTGGACTTTGTCGTATAAAATTAAAAAATAATTATTCTTCGACTTCAAATTTAATTAGATATATTAAATCTAAGCATCCATTATTAAATAGACTCATGTAATAGAAGAGATGATTGATGACCCAAATGTTACTCCGTCAACTTCTACTTCTGTAAGTTAAATCTATACATCACAATTCGCATGATTCAGAATTTATTGATAAGACGTTTTAAACTAAATTCAATTCTTAGTAGTCCACACTGAGTCATTGAGTCACAGTACCATGGCACACTGATTCAGCTCATTCAGTTCACCTAAAAGAGTCAACTCTTTGAGTTGACTCACTCACGAACTACCCATCCCTACTGACCATTATNCTTTGAGTTGTCTCACTCACGAACTACCCATCCCTACTTTAAAATATAGACTGAAAGTGTGGTGTGAAATTAATTTGCTAAATACACCTTTTTTTAACGTTGTCAACGCAAATTTTGAAAATACTGTTGTAAACGTAGAAATACAAAAAGTACTCAATAATTTTCATTGTAAAATTTTTTTGAATTTTATTCATTACACTCTTAAGAATTAAAATATGGTTAGCAAAACAATTTTAAGTCCGGAATGATATTTTTCCTATTCTACAAAAATAATGATATTTGATCCTACAAATAAAGTTAAAATAATAATAATAATAACAAATAATTTACATTTCTAATTTACATAACTTATTTTAATTCATTGAGGACAGATTATACGGTACTATTAACGACTATATCGTCTAACAAGACTACACCAGGAATTGAGTCGACTATGAACCTATTATTTGACAAAGCAATGAAAAAGTTTTAAATATATATAATTTCTCTGAGAATAATAATTTTTTGTGAGTTTTTGGCTTTTGTTAATTACATATGTGTTTTTATTTACTATTACAAAATATTTTCATTGTCGTCCCTTATAGGTTATAAGAGTGTCTTTATTTATTTTTTAATGGAAACACACATATTTCCACAAGTTTATAAAATATAAAATTATTTCATTAAAAAAATAAGTAGCTTTTAACAACTATTTTAGAAGTTATTAACAATTTAAAATAATAACTGGACAGTAAGAAATAGTTGATGCTATTTTGATCATTAAAAATTCTAGGCATCACTCTTCCTTCATCCAAAGTATAAAAATCTTATTAATTTCAGAAATATTTGTTATCAACGCGTCATTTTCTTAATTAAATAATATATTATTTATTAAATATGTATTTAATACATTTAAATGGGAACATAATATGTTTCCATTTATTTATACTCTATAAAAGATTAAATTATGTGTTTGTAAACAAATATATTTGTATACAGTTATTTAAAAAAAAAAGTCGACTAATAGAATTTGATATGATACTGATCATTTACAACAATTTAATTTATGTGTTTTCATCACATCATTATTATTTTAATATAAAAAATACAATTAAATAAATTGAGAAACATGTGTTGCAAAATTTTTGTGTAGGCCATGTAAACAACTAGCATAATGTGTTACTAGCATACTCATTGAAGTATTAATAAAACCGACAAATATTATATAACTTAATTTAAGAAACTGCTTCTTTAACAATATTACAATTATCAAAATTTTGAAAATTCTATATACATATTTTTTAACTGAGAGAATGGTAAGTATTTCAATTTATAATCTATAGGATGATTCATTGAGATTATGATAATCATTTTCTTGGAAACTATTGAAAAATTTTAAATTTTGCAAAATAAATATTGTTTGATTCAAAAAACTCTACAATAATATGTAATTAAAGAAATTTCTTTATACTTTTAGAGACAAAAACCCTAATCTTAAATTTTCATTAATAGGAACATCTATTTTTAAGTTAGATAATTTGATAGAAATAAAAATGTTCTTAGAACTGTTTTTATTTAGTGAACCATTTTGAATTTTAACGATTTTTCTATTAATAATTTTTTTTTTTAGCATTCAGTATTTGTCAATTGTCACAGATACAATTCGATATTATTCATTAAAAAAATCTAATATTTAATAATTCATGTCTATTAATAAAGTATACTCATATTCAACTCAATTTTACTAACGAATATTGTTGAACTATAATAAATAATTTATGGCACATTTTAATATATTATTATTACTTCAGGTACTATTAAGATCAAAATAATGATATTAGTATTTTAAATTTAAATCTATAAATAATTTTAAAACTCAAACAATTTTTTCAATCATATCATCAAAATAAAGTTAATGTTCTCATTAAAGAAATTAATTAAATTTTTATACCTGCTGGTATGAGAACACAACTTATTTAACTCCATATTATCGTAAAATTTTTTTATTAAATAATAATGTTCTTTACGAAAGTCATATCCTAAATGAATCACTTTGTATTTTCATACTTAAATTGATATTTAAATTATTTTTTAGAATTCATATTTAATCAAATTTATGACTTTGTACTTTATTTTATCAAATGGTAATATACAAATAAATTTATTGCACATAATTTTAAAATTTAGCTGTCACTATTTAAATAAATAAATGTTTGTACCTAAATTTAAGAAAAAAACATTTATTTATTAGAAAATATTATACATTATCAAATAATAAAAAATCAACTTTTCTTTTTTTAATGGTATTAACAATGAAAAAAATTCCAAAGATTTGTGTTAACCCAAATATTATATGGCGTGTCAAAAAAGTATACAATGTTTTTTTTGTTGAAAATTTATCGATACATTTTAATATGTTATATGAAATTCAGTTTAATAATTTTTAATCTAAATTCAATATAGTAAGTTAAACGTCATATTATCTGTCATATATGTGAATTCATAATGAAAAATGTATAGTGGTAATATGATTTAAAAAATCGTCAAGAAAATTGATATTTACATAACAACGTAATCTTAATATATTATTGTCATAACATTTTTAACATTGCTATTTAAAATTGTGGGTTATATCTTACAACACACAATTATTTAAATGGCGGTAGACTTTTATTAAACAAAATTATAACACTAAAANAATAATTTTAAGGCTGAATCAAGTAAACCATTTTTTTGTATAAAAAAAAATAAATAAAAAAATTTAACTATTGTTTTCTTTTAGAATTGGGTTCTTCGATTATCAGTGAGTATTATAAATAAAATTATTCACCAAGACAATTACCTATAAATGTTCATCACTCGTACTCAAAAACATACTCAAAAAAATTATTGACATTCATTTTGTTCATCTCTCTACATCTTAATTCTTGCAAATATATTTTTGAAATTTTTTTACTGCTAAACAGTTTAAAAACTTTATTATCGTCGCTCAATTTTTTTAAAAGAATCTTAGTTTCCTTCATTTTGTAATCAAGTGGCGCCACTTTACGTTTCTTCTCAAAAGAAATTAACCTCTTCATATATTCAACTTCCAAATCATTCAATTCTTCCACAATTGAATCATTTGTTTTTTACCACATCCTTTTACTATGCTTTTTAATACTAATGAGTTATTTTTAGCAGCTTACTCTTCTTCCTTCTCAAGGTTCGATATGGAAGATATTTCTTCCTTGATATTAAAAATATTTATTAGGCTTGGACATTTTTCTATTAATCTTAAACTTTTTTTTTTTTTTATTGCCTTATACCATTCCTTGGAAAAATTTTGATCGCATTCCTATCTCTCAACCTAATACATCACTTACTGCTTTTCATCCTCTTGCTCTCTCTTCTTCTCTATTAAATAGTAGAACACATAATAAAAATTGTTTAGATTGATTTCTGAAAAAAAAAAATAACATAATCTCTTATATTCTATTTTGTTTTAGGAATTTCTAAGATATTTTTGAGTGTCTATCTCTCTCTTTATCGTAAAGAAAAATACAATTCTTCTAGAAGTATTTATTGATGATATCAAGGGAGTTTTTGATTCAATTAATATACTTAATGATTTAAAACGTTTAAACGCTATTTAATTGCAATTAAAAGTGGGTACCCTTCCTTTTGTAAATTCCTTTTCTCGCTTTATTTTAATCGCTTCCTACATTTCTCTTCAAATTCTGTATCTTCTATTTCTTGATTTTCAACAAATTAAACAAAAATGATAAGTGACATAATATAAACAGAAAGTAAGAGTGATGCTGTTTGGTCTAGCGCAATCTTGGGAGTGGTCGGTAAACGGTGACCACAGTAATGGAATAAAAGTGAAAGGATCTCGGAGTATGTTTGCCTACAGAATCACGTCTGATAAATGTGACCACGAGATAAAAGGGCAATGATAAATTACTATTTAGCTCTAACACAATAATATATTCATGAATCTATTTTATTTATGAAAATAGTATTTTGCGCAATTATTTTAGTCAGTTCATTTTTGACGATCTATCTCACTCTATTTATATATTACAAAAAATCCTTCAATGAAAGTATTATTTGGATTTATTATATAAATTAGTAAGTTCTCACTTACCTCAAATTATCTCGATAAGACAAATATTTGTATGCAATGAATGCAACAGTTTATGTCACTATTACGTTATGTACACAATTAAAACTACACGTCTTACAATATTAATTCGTATATAACTATTTCCCTAGTACAACTTTATATTAAATCTACACAAAGTTAAAGTCGAACTTATATTCTTTTGGTATTTCATGTCAACACTTTTTATATATTTATGTAGTATGTTCCTTGACTTTGTGTGTAGTATAAAATACTACATACATTGTAATTTAATAATTTGTAAAACTTTTAATGATATTCTAACTAACATAACTGTTCTGCGCAATAAATAATTTCCAAGTGGCCTACGTCTTTTTAGTCTTCCATAGAGTGATCTAGGGTAAATGTGAGCTCAATTTCAGTTCATTGCATAATACATTATACAAGTGTTCTACACTCCGATGGTCCACACTATGACAGAGATCAGACTGGCTGGTCGACAAATGTAAAAACACTTTGGAGAAAGCTTTTAATTAATTAAAACCGTGATTATGATGTTATTATGGAAGTACTCTGACCATTCAGGTCATTGCTCTTCAATAAGTAATAGATACAATACAATCTAATTATTTATTTTTAAAATGTGTAGGGTGTCTAATATTAATAAATAAATCAAATACCAATGTGTTGATATATTCGTTTTACCAAAAAATGTTCGGCGGAAAATAATATTTCAAAAAAATACCAAGTCTTAATATTTCCTTTTCTACCAACTTTTATCTCGTTTCTTTTGCATCCTCATTTTCTACTGAATTCAATTGTTAATGCACTACTCTATATATCTGTTTCTCAGGATACATCTTTTCTTATCTGCTCAGATTCCCAGGCATTTTATTCGGCTATTAATACAAAACCTTCTGATCCTCTTACTTTCTCTATAGTTTTTTCAATTAGAGTACTCCTTTTGCTAAAATAAATCATCTTTTCTATGTTGTCCTCCATTTCTTCTACATTATTTTGATGCTTTACGGTACTTTGAATCCATCCTAGTGGATGTATGACTCGCCAAAACGGTCTTCTCCCCCTGTTATGATATTTGCTCCATGGCATCGGTCCATCGTACATAGTCCTTCTAATATCCCGTGGTTCCAGCGACTAGATTTTATCCGCAATATCATTTCTAGCTTTTCATAACTTAGTCTAAGCCATAATATTTTACCGGCACTCGTTTATAAATTAAACCTTATTTCTGTTCTCTTTTGCCACTTGCATGAAGAGAAGTTGTTGGTGACTTACCCCACTATTTTATTGAACTGCTCCTCCTTAGGCGTCTAGTAGGTACTTGATCATAAAATCCTTAGAATCCAATGACATTTCCAATCTTGTTTTTACACAATATATTAAGAAATAATACTCTTACTCTAAGCATTTAAAAAATATTATTATTGTGTAATTAAATAAAAATTATGAAGGTAAACAAATTTTATTTAATTCGTTCGAAATACAATTTAAGTATTTATAATAATATAATCTTATTGTATTTCTATAGCTTTGGACAAAAATAAGGAAGGTATGTTAATCAATTAAAAAAAAAATAGAAAGAAAAACGTCTTATTCTAAGCAATTAATAACATTCAAATTTTTATTGTAGAATTGAATAAAATTGATGAATGTAATTTTTTTATTTATTAATGAAAAAAATACACTTATTTTTTAATTTCAAAATAATAATAATAAATTCAATAAAATTAAAAAAAGTCTTACTTTAAGCGCTTAAATAACATTTACATTTTTTAGAATTTAGTAAATAACATGATGGTTAACATATCATTCATTAAATCTAATACGTGGAATTTTTACCGGTTTTATTAAATAATATTTTATTTTATATAATATACATAAATTATAATTATTTCAATAAAATTATATTTTAAGTATAAATACGCCTTATATATACTAATAATAAAATTTTATAATATTTTTATAGCTTTGGACAAAAGCAATGAAGAAGGTATGTTAATCAATAAATAATATGTGATGTTGAACATATAAATATATGATGGTTAATATATTATTTATTAAATCTAATATGTGGATGTTGTCGTGACACTATAACAATTTCATTCGTGATTCATTAAATAATTTTTCATTAACTTGTACAAAATAAAAGTTAATTTATTTTTTGAATCATAATAAATATCAAGTTTATTGTAAAAAAAAATTATTTCATAAGGTAGACTTTAGAGGTAACTTTCAAAAATTAAATAAGAACTAAAAAAAGTTTTTATTATACTAGATTGGAGAATGTAATAAAGAAAATTTGACTGTTCGATAACCAGCATTGTTTATTTCTATTGAATAATTATAATTGTATTATATTAAAATTAACAACCAGCTAGTATTTTTTTAAGACCATTTTGAATTTATTAGTAAAACAATATTAAAATCTTCCATTTAACTTTCAAAAGTAACTCTTAAAATTTTCCCTCTAAAATAAATGAAAACAATTATTGAAAAGTAATGTTAAAAGAAATAATTTAAAAGTAATGTCTCATTAATATTTACGTATTTTACTACAATATTTGATAAAAATGAAAATGATAAGCTTATTTTGAATAATCTAAGTGATTGAAAATTAAACGTAAAAACAATTTAAAAGTGTTGTTTGTTTATTATATCATAAATGTATAAAATTCTTAAGAAAAAAAGAATATATTTACACCTAACTAAATGAATAAATTACAGCATATTTATAGCTCTACAATCAAAATAATAATATAGTATAATAGTAATTGATCACTTGTGGCTAATATTATTTTAAATATTAACATTTATGTATGTGTTTAGGGCAGTTAAATATTTTTTATAATATTTTGTTTTAAATTAATATATAAAAAAAACATATTTTTAATTTTTATTATAATTATTATCAGTTTATAAATTTGTTACAGAATCGGATAGTTATGGTATGTAAATTTATTAATAAGTTAAAGTAATTAAAAAAAAATTATTCCATATCTAATTCAACATCATACCTCGAAATAAATATTATGCCATCTATTTCTATCTTCTGCTACATTTTTTAAAGCGTCTACCTAATCACAAAAATTTGATTTGTTGTGGACCTGTTTGGTCAAAAACCTCCTTGGTAGTCTCCTATTATTCCTTCCGCAATCGGTTGTATTCTATCTAATAATCAATATACAGAAATTTTATAGGTTACGTTTAATAATACAATTCCGCTATAATTGTTGTATATCTGAGGGTCGTTCTTTTTATGAATAGAGTACACTAGTGTAGTATTCCACTCCTCCGGAAGTCTTTCCTCCTGACAAACCATCACAATAATACTATGTACTCCTAATACCGTTTCCTCATATAATTTTTTTAATATTTCTCTGTGAATCCCATCTTACATCTTATGTTTTTCTTACAGCTTTTACTTTACCAATTTCTGACTCTGTCACTACCATTATAGTATCTTTAATTTTCTTCCATTTTTCATCAATTGAACCTATACTTGCATCTATCCTTCTGATTTTTTCCAACATTTGATACTTGAATCTTTCACCTTTTTTGTGAGTGACCTTTTTTATTTTGACTTTCATTTTTCCTTTAACCAGATAGCGATCTGAATCGCCATCGGCTCCTCTCATCATTCTTATGTCTTGAATACAATTTTTGAATCTTGTGGTCGATTTGGTTGACATGTCTTCCGTCTGGTTATATCCATGTTCTCTTATAAATATTTTTATGAGAGAACATTGTACTTTTCACTACAAGACCATTTCCACATGCAAAATCGATAAGTATAAATCCATTATCATTTGTAGCTTCGTGCAGGCTATGGCTACCAATTATTGGTCTGAATACAACCTCTTTACCAACTTTTGTGTTCAGGTTACCTAAGACTATTTTTATTCTGAATTGAGATAATGCATTTAATGTTGAGTCCAAGCAATCATAGAAATCATCCTTTTCATCTTGTGGCTTATCTTCGGAAGGCACATGTACATTTATGAATGTTATGTCGAAAAACTGCACCATCATTTTCAGCAATGAGGTTCTTAAATTAAAATTTTTGAACTCTTTTCTATATGCTATTAAGCTTTTGTGTACTGCAAAATCAGTTCAACGGGCGTTGTTCATTACATTTGTCACAAATTATAATTTATTATAATTATTGTTGTTTCTTGAATATCTAACGTCCCAGTATCATCCCATTTAATTTCTTGTGAAGCTACTATTTATAGCTTGTACTTCTTAATTTCTTTAAAAATGTTTTGGACCGCTTCAGGTTTAAAAAGAGTATGTACGTTCGATGTCCCTGACATTCAGCCATTTAACCGATCTCCAGTCTTATTATCCAAAGCTCCACATATCCGAGGCATGTTTATTTGATCCTGAAAAAATGATCTTTACTAGGTCGGGTTGTTAGCCCTGCGCTAAACCCGCAACCTGGAGGATCAGTCTACTCAAACCAATTAGGTCAGATTAGGGAAAACTGAACCAACTAATTAATTGGAAAATTTATTTCATATCTAACATAAATTTCAATAAAAACTTTATTCAAAAAAATTATATGTATTTCACGTGTTTATTAGTTATGAAAAATTTCATTGATTGAAAAATAAATGTAAAAACAATTAAATTTTTTTCAAATAGTCCAGTAGAAAAAAAGAATTCTTTTCACTTAATTTAATAAATATAGTACAGCAATTTAAAGCTTTACAATCTAAATAATTGTAAAGTTATATAGTTAAAATAATTTGTTACAGAATTAGATGGTTATAATGGTATGTATTAATTAGCTGAAGTATTTAAAATTATGTATATCATACCTAACCTGAAATTCTTTAGTTGCGTGTATAATAACTTTAATAATTTTTGGGAAAATTGTTTCGGAAATCTTTGAAGAATATAAAAATTAATTAGATGTTTGAGATGACGGAACAACATGTGTAGGTACATTTAGATAGACAGAAAGCAGAGAATGAGTGTTCGGTGGCTGTGCTCTGTGGTCGGATGTGGTCTAGTAGATAGATTTTTTATATTAGCAAAATACACGGAGATATCCGTGTATTAAACGTATCGAAATATATGCATTACTGTGTCAAACCCTCTGAAATGATTTTCGATGTTCATAAATAGTCGTCCATATAATTTTTTTTTTTAATTATCCTTTTTCTTTTATATAAAACTATTCGGGTGATTATCAATTCAGAGAAAAATAAATTGGTAAAATAAATAAAGTTAATAAAAAACAAAAAATTCCCCAAGAAAAAAAATCTTTGAATATGCTATTTGGCGTATTCGAGATTTTTCAATAGAATGGGTTTAATATTTTAAAAAATGTGGTCCTAGTGTCTAGTTCCATCATGTCAATATTTAATACACACCTAAATTTATACCTGAAGTATCTATCCTAAAAATTACGGGAAGATAAAATTTATTTAATGCGTTAAGCATGTATCAGGGCTGTTCCGAAAAGGGTTTTAGAGAGTTGTTACACATTACACTCAGAAATATTTAATCGTTTAAGTTGGCAACATTTCGGTATAATTTGTTATGTCACTAACTAGGGGTTGAGCTTAAATGCCCGTCAACAGTATTCTAAGGAACCAACGGGGGATAGCTGGCTAGGCTATATCTACCTTAGGTACCGAGGTTTCCTATTTAATTCATATTCCCTTAGAGGAACTACCAAGGGTGGCACTACAATATATATATATATAACACTCTTAGTTAAAAACGATATAAATATTTATTAAGCAAAGAAATATTAAATAAATAGTACAACCTGCTGCACACCTTGAGATGATAATAATCCAGAAGGGAGCGACACACACGCTATTTCTGCGGCAGCTAATTAAGGTTAAATGTAAGACAAAAGAGTAATGGTTAGAAAAAGTCAACTGCCATTTGGGATATTAGTATTATTATGGCACAGTGACTATGCATTCCAAAAGTGTTTATGTGTGCAGTCTGCCCTCCTGTTGTAATACGTATGTCAATGTTATAAGCCTAGTCGGCGGTACAATGATGCTGTGGATATGATGACGTCTATGTAATCGAATCAAATTTATATTGAAATGTTTACGATTTAGAATTTCCTTTTGATTAAATGAAGTTACTTTAAATAATAATTAGAATAAATTTCACATAACTTTGAAAAAATTATCTATTTCTTAAAAATAATATTTTTACTCATCCCTCATAGTTATTAAGTTTTCATATATAATATAAAACAAACAAATGAAATTAGTCATGTGTATTTGAAGCACATATATATTGAATTAATTTTTATAAAACATTTTATTTAACTGTTTTTTTTTTAAGAATGTCTAATTTGTTTTGAAAAACTTGTCAAAGATATTACTGAACATAAATGTGGTAACAAATATCATACAGAATGTCTTAATCTTTGGGAGAAAAAAAGCACAAAACATGATTGTCCTGTTTGTAGAGAAATATTACATCCTAGTAAGCATTTTGAGTACAATTCTGTGAACTATTCTGTATAAATCAAATACGTATTATAGTATTTGTTATAATATATTATCATCATAAAATTATAATAATTTATTATTACAAAGATAGTTAGCAGGACTGGATATAATTCTTATGATTATTTTGTACTCCTTAAATTTCTAATGTCTTATTATTTTCAATGTAACTGATTAAAAATATTTACACTCACCAACCTTATAATAGAACTTGTGAGTATTGTTTTTATTATCTCCACGTATCAATATGTCATAAATTCTTCTTCTATTCTAGAATAAAAATATTTAACAAAATAAAACTTGAGTTACAGTTTTAATAAACAATGCCAAAAATAAACTTAGTAGAATTAAAAACTTGCATAGTTAGGACATAAACAACTGACAATGATTTACATCATGAAATGATTTTATGCGAATAGGTTTATATTAATATGAGACTTTTGATTAATACAAAAAACTAAAATAATGGAAAGAATTTGAAAAAATTAAATGTTTTCTTCCCATAACGGCAGATTTCACATAGTACTCGTGTACTATTTGATATACTAGTCATTGGTTAGTTAGTATATTTTTAAGAGAAAAGGAAATTTATTTAAAAAATATATGAGTACATGATTTTTTTTTTTAGATGAAATAAGTGAGTATTAATATAGAATTTAAATCAATAAAATTTGCTTAGTGGACGCCACAAATATCTGATGGTTTTGTTTCTGTAGATTCTGAATTTTTAAATTAGTTGTATCAATATTATTTCCAAAAGAAAAATTTATATCAGCAGTTTGGAAAACACCCATTGTTTTTATAAACAAAATTATTTTCTTAATTTTCTAGAGAAAACATTACACAAGATGCATATTGGATTTTATAGCTTATTGATAAGCATTATAATTCTGTTAATGTTTAAATTTTTTATAATGAGACAAAAATAAACACATAATAAACAATATTAATATCTTCTTAGCATTGCATCAAAGCTAAAATCTAAAAATTTTCAAAAATTTCGTATAATCATCACTTTAGAATAAATATAGTAGCCAATAATTAATTATACATTTTTTATATGATATATATAATCATGGATATATGTTTCTTTTTTTTTTTTAGATGAAATAAGTGAGTATTAATATTGAATTTAAATTAATAAATTTGCTTAGTGGACGCCTTAATATCTGATGGTTTTGTTTCTGTAGATGAATTTTCAAAGTAGTTGTTTCAATATTATTTCCAAAAGAAAAATTTAAATAGTAGTTATGAAAACACTTATTTTTGATTTTAACAAAATTATTTGAGGATTTTTTTCTTAATTTACTAGAGAATCCTTTGCACTAAATTCATATTGGATTTTATAGCTTATTGATAAGCATTATTAATTCTGTTAATGTTTAAATTTTTTATAAGAGACAAAAATAAACACATAATAAACAATATTAATATCTTCTTAGCATTGCATCAAAGCTAAATTTCGTATAATCATCACTTTAGAATAAATATAGTAGCCAATAATTAATTATACATTTTTTATATGATATATATAATCATGGATATATGTTTCTTTTTTTTTTTTTTAGATGAAATAAGTGAGTATTAATATTGAATTTAAATTAATAAATTTGCTTAGTGGACGCCTTAATATCTGATGGTTTTGTTTCTGTAGATGAATTTTCAAAGTAGTTGTTTCAATATTATTTCCAAAAGAAAAATTTAAATAGTAGTTATGAAAACACTTATTTTTGATTTTAACAAAATTATTTGAGGATTTTTTTCTTAATTTACTAGAGAATCCTTTGCACTAAATTCATATTGGATTTTATAGCTTAATGATAAGCATTATTAATTCTGTTAATGTTTAAATTTTTTATATGAGACAAAAATAAACACATAATAAACAATATTAATATCTTCTTAGCATTGCATCAAAGCTAAAATCTAAAAATTTTCAAAAATTTCGTATAATCATCACTTTAGAATAAATATAGTAGCCAATAATTAATTATACATTTTTTATATGATATATATAATCATGGATATATGTTTCTTTTTTTTTTTTTTAGATGAAATAAGTGAGTATTAATATTGAATTTAAATTAATAAATTTGCTTAGTGGACGCCTTAATATCTGATGGTTTTGTTTCTGTAGATGAATTTTTAAAGTTTTTGTTTCAATATTATTTCCAAAAGAAAAATTTAAATTAGTAGTTATGAAAACACTTATTTTTGATTTTAACAAAATTATTTGAGGATTATTTTCTTAATTTACTAGAGAATCCTTTGCACTAAATTCATATTGGATTTTATAGCTTAATGATAAGCATTATTAATTCTGTTAATGTTTAAATTTTTTATAAGAGACAAAAATAAACACATAATAAACAATATTAATATCTTCTTAAAACACTTATTTTTGTTTTTAACAAAATTATTTCAGGATTATTTTCTTAATTTACTAGAGAAAACATTACACAAGATGCATATTGGATTTTATAATTTAATTTTTTTATAATGAGACAAAAATAAACATTGCACCATAGCTAAAATTCTCAACATTTTCAAAAATCTCGTATAAATAATTCTGGTAATCTATAATTGATATGAATATGGATATATGTTTTTTTTTTAGTTGAAATAAATTGAATTTTACAAATAATAATTGAAATTCATATCTTTATTTGATCGGTTCCTTTTAATAACAATTGGCTCATTCCATTTTGCTACCTTAGATCTTCATGTATACATTTGCAAATATGAAATTTCCGGTATACATTTACACTTCTTTTTTAAACTATTCTTTCTGTTAATGCTTGATTGCATTTTGTGTACCCAATTAATTAATTAATGAATTATTTTGTGTAATTATTAGAATGTGGTATGTGTGGCTGTGTAATTCATTCGAAGTTCCATAGGTTCCATTATTACACTAAATGTTGTAAAGAGAGAATATGTAAATATTGTTATAAGTATCTAGAAATCTCTGGTCATGATAAAATATGTAATATTTGTTTCAGAGATGCAGGTAATAACTTTTGAACAAAAGTTTTTTTAATTTATAAAATTAATGACTTTTAATGTGCATTCGTTTTGTGGTATAAATGTAAATTTTAAGTATACTGAACAAACGGTATAAATTTAATAAAATAATAATTTTTTTTTTTTGCATTATTGAAAAGTATGCATATAAAATTTTCATGACCACTTATTATGGTTTTTTTTTTTAATACTTAAAATTTGTATTTATTAGTATTTTACCAAAAATAATACAAGAATTTTAACCACAAGGATCACTGGCTAAACTACCTCAGAGTATTTAGCCTTATCACAGTATCGAGCTCCACTTTGATGAACCTTTATTTCTCAACTACTTGAGGGAACAGATGAATAAAAACGTTAGAAAATTACAAAACAATGATCTTGTAATAATTTTTTTTAGTTATCTGGTAAATTTTTCGTACAAGAACGTAAAATGATGACTCTTTGCAGAATCGTTGAAATCGAAAAAAAATATGAACAACAATACTTTTAGTAAACCGTCTACTATCATAGAGGCGAGGACAACAGATACACACTAGCAGTTGCACGATTAACTGGGAGCAGATGCTGAAAGGATCAATGATCTTTATTTTAAGCCTAAATAACTTAGCGGCACTCAGTATGAGAAAAATTATACAATTCACGCAGATAAATCTGCATCACAGTAAAAGGGTCATCAGTGTATTGTTAAGGACCCTAACTAAAATACCCTTACAAATAGCACTTATTCAGAAACCATGGCTTAAAATTGTTTTAAAAACAGTCAGACAAACCATAGCCTTGTATTTGATTGATGATAAAACCAGCTTATTACATACTTTGTCCAGCGTAGACATGACAACTATTATAGTAACATTAAATAAAGGTCAAAATATTATAGTTGCCTCAGGGTACTATTATATTGATATTAATACATAATATTATATTATATAATGTAGTATTGATATAATATGAGTCCCCAGACTTAGTCGGTGACCTAATAGTGCTACTTAATTATTGTAATGAAGAAAAGTTAATAATCATCCTCTCATGATATGAAAAATTTACAATTTAGATAAAGGTTGGAACAATGCACTGAAAGGGTTGTAACTGTCCTTCAAAATTGTATTGTTTCAGCATACAAGAAAAATTGTCCTTTGGTAGAAAGTAATGGTATCGGACAATTAAGGCAGGATGCATTTTGATGGAACGCTAGCCTATTAAAATTAAGAAAGAGTTCTCGTAAACTCTTAAACAAAGCAAGGAAATCGGGTTTAGAACAACATTAGGGGAGTCCTATAGGGACTCTCAAAGTCAATACAAATCTGCATTGAAAAAGTTCAAAAGAGAGGTCTAGAAAAATATTTGTGGGAATTACATCAACTACCCACAGCTATTATACTTCTACGCTCACCAAGAAATGGATCGAACAATTCCATCAAAGCAATATTATTACCAGACGATACGTTCTCAAACAATAATAACGAAATTAAGTAAAATTAAAACTATATTAAAAATATTAAACTCAAAGCCATAAAAAATTAATGAAAAGTTCATTCTTCAAATCACTTCATTGATTAAACCTATAGTTTTATATGGTACTTTGATCATAACAACACTTATTATTGCTAGGAAACATTCTTTCAAAAATTGCTACTATAGCCATTACTGGGATGATAATTATAACAATAACGGTGGCACTGGAGACAATAATTGGAATACCTATTTTACACCTTCGGGTTAAAGCTCATTCCAAATTTAAAGCACTAAGACTCCAAAACTTATATGCTATAGATAGCGACACCGTAAAACTTGCTAAAGTACTAAAAGAGATAGACCAGAGTATATTTTGATAACCCTCGGATTGTAACAAACATGTTTATGCAAAATGACACTCCCTGTAAAGTTAAGATCTCAACACATAGGGAATACAATATAAACCAGCAGACTAAGATAGAAGGGTTTGTAATTTATACAAAAAAAGAACATCTTAAGAAAATAAATATCATAACTATTCTAAGCTATAATAAAGTTTCTCTAAAGGTACTTAGTAATAATCAGGTGGCTTTAAAGCTAGTCCTTGAATGCAGGGAAACTTTAGAATTACTAGCAAGGTTTAATAAATTTACAATAGTACAGATACCGGGGCACAGAGGTATGACTGGTACTGAAAAAACAGACTTTTTAGCGAGGAAAAGTGCAGAAAAAATTTATGTTGGACCAGAATCAGTGGTAAGACTCACGAAACAATCCCTCAATGTTCTACCTAAAACCTGGTATAGAGAACAACACAGTAAAATATTTGTGGGAACTATTAGGGAGGGCTGGCAAAATAACTCAAAAGACAAAAAACATAAAAAAAAATAAGAACATAAGGCACCGGCCTAAACCAGCGCCTCAGGTCCTCCTGTGCCGGGCGGCGTGGCTTCCTCTATCTCGGGCGTTCCGCTTCCTACTTTTTTTTTAAGATGGATTCGGCGAACTCCTGGACTATCCTCCACGCCTCCTGTCTCCTCAACATCAGGTCCACCATGGACCCGACTCGGATCGTGAACCCTAGTCGCGGGATTCCAAAGAGTTCCGCTTATAAACCCACGTCTCGCACCGGAAGAGGATGTGCAGAGCGCTATCAGCCTCTCCCGGGCGATTCGAACAGTGGTTGCACGTCGGCGCGGTTACTTTACAAATACGCTGCAAGTGCTCGTTAAATCAGCCGCGGCCGGACATCACTTAGTTGAGATGATAAGTCATCTCACCGTGAGTCCGGTCCAGCCGATCGGGTCCTATAAGGGACCTGGTTCACTCACCTTTCGTCGTTTCTTCCAAAAGGCGATCATTGTGGTACCCAGACAATCAGAAATGTTTTTCAAGACTCTCGGTCTACTACTCAAGAATCTTAATAACATGATTAGATATCAAATAAGCACACTGACTGGAATACTGACAAGACACCGTTATCTGCTTAAGTATCTTTACACAATGAGGGTAATAGTATCATCACTGTGCAGAAGTATGGAACAGAATAAGAAATTTAATTTTATATTATACGTGAATGTGATAACCTGGCCACACTAAACATTTGGGGAAATCTTTTCTTTGAAAAGAAGATATCAAAAACTTATAACTCAAATTGATACTTAATGAATTATATTAGAAAGACAGGAATCTTTAACATAATAACGTTTATAATATTAACGTTTAACGCACTTTATACAGAAATGATTATCATTAATCTTTATTACAAAAGTTAGAAACATTATTGTATGTCAACTACGAATGTTCCATGGTTAGCCAAGTTAAAAGTGATAACAATTAATAATTTGCGTGATTCTATCACTGTAATAATATTATTATGGGATATTACTTGTTAGGAGATTTGATGATAAATGAACTTATTTAATTAAAAACTCAACATATTCTAGACAAAGTTTCTATAATTGTTTTAATAATCTTAATTATACTACTACTTTTAGCTTCGATATGAAACTGAGAAGGTATTGGTTTTACTGCGATGTGTTTTTTTGTGTGTGTGTGTGTCTTATACCAATTTTTCTCAGCTCTTACCGAACCGATTTCTTTCAACGATACATCAAAAGATCACATATCATATCAAGTCGAAGACAAGACTATCAAAAATTGAAAAAATTTCCCTCGTTCTCCGTAAATGGGGGAAATCTCCGAAAAAATTACAAATTTAAAAATGGATAATTTTCAAAATTTTTTCAATTTTTTTTACTAAAACCTGCAGCAACTTTTTTAAAAATTAACATATCAATATAATTCTTTTTTTTATAGATGCATGATGTCATTACCTATCATTTGGTATTTTTTTTTTATAAATCTGACTTTTTACCTGCCCACAGGAGGGGATTCAAAATGATAACTTTTTCACAAAAAATTGACTTTTTCAACTTAAATTTTGAAAGTGTTCCGGAAAATCTGACATTTTTATATATATCTTAAATTAAAGCTAATGTTATGTACTTTATTATTTATAAAAAAAATTTTCTTTAAAACTTATCTATAAAATGACTATATTCATATTCAAAAAATTAATTTTTTTAAATATTTATTGTGATTACGAAAAAAAAACATAAAACATAAATATAGTTCTACATTGTAAAAATTGATTTAAAAAACCCAGCACAGGGGGGTCGCGGCACAGTGGTGACGTGGCATAGATGGATCAAGTATAATGATATCTGACAGTGATTAAAATCACTATCATAAAAAACGCTTCGATGCAAATCTTTAGATAGTGTTTAATTTTAAAAAATTGGTGGATTATTCCAAAAGCTTCATAAACTGCTAGTTCCTTATTAATATCCTGATTAAGATAAAGTATGTCGAATGAAAAAGGGATTATTAAAAAATAGTATTTCCCATAAAAAAATTATATTGATCAATACACTTTTCAATAAGTTATAGCATTATAAAGTTAAAAATGTAAAAAATTAAATTGAGAATTTTCACACGATAATAGCATTTGGTAGCCATTTTCACCGTGAAGACAAAATAAAGTCCGAAATTGTTTTTTTACATAATAAAGAATATTACATTAGCTTTAATTTAAGATATATATAAAAGTTAAGTTGAAAAAATTAATTTTTTTTGAAAAAGTTGTCATTTTAAATCCCCCCTTGTGGGCAGGTTAAGGGTTAAATTAATGAAAAAAATATACCAAACGAAAGGTAATAATATTACACAACTATATAAAAAAGAATTATATTGATATGTTCATTTTTGAAAAAGTTATGGCACTTTTAAGTAAAAAAAATTGAAAAAATTTCGAAAATTAGCGATTTTTAAATTTGTAATTTTTTTGGAGGTTTCCCCCATTTACGGGGAACGAGGGAATTTTTTTCAATTTTTAAGGGTAATGTCTTCGACTAGATACGATTTGTGATCTTTTGACGTATCATTGAAAGAAATCGGTTCGGTGAGAGCTGAGAAAAAGTGGTAACAGACACAAAAAAAACATCTTAGTAAAACCAATACCTTCTCAGCTTCGCATCGAAGCTAAAAAAAAATGTATAAAGTGTTATGTAGATCATAAGTTATATGTGTTGTCAGTTAGATCTGTTCCACTCTGTTTAGACAAAATTTACTTATTTCATAAAATGTCAATATTTCTTTTCAAAGTCTAGATTTTTGAATACTTTAATGTCTCACAATTTCTGTTGTTAATATGTGAATTTTAATATAATCTCAAATTTTAATATAAACCAATATGTTTCAATTTTTTATCATTGAATAAGCAGTTCGAAAATACTTTATTTGTTTAAGAGAGCTATCCCGTAATTATTGCAATTTGGTTTATTAACTTTTTTATGTATTGAATTTAATGTATTCACCATTGTCTGCCATTCTCTTGGCATTCTCTTGGCATTTTTATCGTCGTTTAAACCTTCTGAATTATCTTTTAATATCATATAGTAATTTTTTATCCACCTTCTATTAAAATTTTCAACTGAGTATGGATATATTTTCTTTGAAAATTGTTTTTCAATATATTTCATTGTACATCCATTACAATTAATTTGTTAATATTTTTCTTTCTTTGATTTAATCCATGGATTGGTTCGCAGTCATCTTCCAAGATTTATTAATTGTCATCTTACTTATTCATTTACACGTAAGCAGCATCCTATATGAGACTGAATAAGGCCTATATTTACTAAATATTTAATTAAGTTTGTATCCAGATTAAATATTTTATTATAATACATACTAATTTTGGAGATTTCAAAACTATGCACTACTATGTCTAACATTTATGAGTTTAACAATCCATTTAGTATAAATTTGTCAAACTTACTTCAGAAATTATTATTTAAGTTATACATTTAATTAAGTTTTAAATAATTGAAATAATATATCCAACGAAATATATATTATGTAATATAAGTAAAACTGATTCACTCATTTTCCTCATAGCAGAAAAATATCTAAACAAATAATATGGTTTTCAATACATCAGAGAAAACATATTAAAATATTTACTGGTAATGAGTACTAAATATTAGTGGTATTAATTTATTAATTTATAGGTAATAAAGGATACAAAAAAGCTGTAATTGTTCCGTGCGCAAATTGCAATGAAAATAAAGCAAACCATAATGTTTCTTCAAAATGCATACATTATTATTGTAAAAAGTGTACAGAAGAAAAAGTCAAAACTCATACAAAATGTAATCATTGTTATGAGTATTTAAAAGCTCGAACTTTGAAAAGTTTGTTTCTTCATTAAATTTTATTTGATTAAAGTAAATTTGATCACTAAATTCAAAAAATTGTCGTATATGGCCAATTGTTTGGCATATACGTATATTTCATTATAATGTAATTGATAATTATCAATGAAAAATTTATAATCTTTATTTTATATTACTTGTAAATAAATAAATAACTTATCTGTCATAAGATGTAAACTGTTCAACACAACTTCTTATTATTTATATATATGTCAATTTATCCATTGTTAAATATGCTATCTCAATATAATAATTATGTAATGTATAATTAAATACAATAATCTAAAAAGATCACTAAAAGCGCTGACAACAATNAATTAAATACAATAATCTAAAAAGATCACTAAAAGCGCTGACAACAATATCCCTAGAATGGGGGTACTGTTATTCACTATAAAAAGCACTGAAATCTTTTCTGACACCAGTTCGCTTTCACCGAATTCAAATAAGAAAATAATTGTTAGCCACAACCCCGTGTTGTTGTCGGCTATCTTTTTATGCGTCTTGCTTACATACATACGAAAAGAATTTGTTTTAATTTTTTATCTTGTGACGAAGCACGAATCCAATACCTCTAAGTATATATAACAATATCGAAATATTTATTGAATTATCTCACAGCAATTTGCAAGAAAAAAGAAATAAGTAAATTTATGTTATCCCAATTATTTAGAGTTAATAAATTTGAGTAAAGGATAACAAAGCAATAGATCATTTATTAAATTAATATCTTAAAGTGTTAATTTTGACTAGCTGGTTAAAATATTATACATAATCACGTTATATGGTATTCGTGAACTGGCTCCGCCGTTTCGTGGCCTCTTAGAAAAAATATTAGAAACTAACCAGACAAAAATCTATTTTACCTCAATTAGAGTTACTGCGTTTATTATTTTTATATCTACTTGTCTTTGTCGTTCCAAACCCTCGAACCATACGACCCAATAGAACCACAACATCAGGTTCTCACCATATACATCCCAATCCGTTTTTTCCATTTTTATTTTATTAATTTTGTAATTTGAATTATAACAAAGCTTATTTAATGTTTTGGCTTCTTAAAAATATATTAATGATATTTCTAAACTATTATCTGTAAAAAAATTAAAATCTAAATTATAAACTTTTAAGCTTATTATAAAGTGAAAAACTGTATACTATTTTTTTTGTAATGAATATGGTTTACTTGATTCAGTCATAGCATATAAGTATTATTTTCAATAGTCATGTTATACATGTTACGATTACTTTATTATCAAATTACTTAATGCTTTTTTATATCATATTTATATATGTATTAATGTATTAAACACATTTCTTAATGAATTCACATAACCTAAGTAGAAATTTTAAATTCCTATTTTATCTTATTCCACTGCCATAATGTAGGTATATAACTAATTAATTGTTTACATAGATGATTGGCTAATTTATAACAAAAATAGTCTAGAGATATCATATAATACGTGTAACATTGTCGCTTAAGAACTTCTTTTCTTGATAATCTTAATAATACAGAAATAACGATAAAAAACTAATTTTGGTAAAAAAAAACCCAGCACAGTTGAGTTATGGCACAATGGAGACGTGGCATAGTTGAGACAAGTATATATATCTGATTGTGTTTAAAATCACTATCATAAAAAACGACTCAATGGAACTCTGTAGTTCTTAATTTTAAGAATTTTGTGGATTATTCCAAAAACAACATCTATTCCCATTTTCTTAATAATATCCTGACAATAGTACTTTGATTTATTAGTATAATTTATGAATAAATAATTATAGTAATTAAATTTAGTATGAAATAGATAATTTGTATATCAGTTCAATATTTTTATAGATATTTTTATGAAAAACTTGAATAAGAATATTGATAAAAGATTATGGTTAAAATCAACCAATTCATTTTTCAACTATATATATTACTAATATTCTTTAGACAACAATTTAACTATTTGAGTTCTTTAACTGTACCAATAATTTTGGTACTGTTAAATATAGTTAGGTTTTTTAGTATTTATATGATTTCTTCAACGCATATTCATTTAAAATTCATTTATATCAATGTGGACAATGATTGCTATTGTTTAATGATCGATTAAAACACGGTTGACAAAAATAATTTTCAATCCAAAAAGATGTTTTTTTTATTTTACAATAATACTAATAATAAAATCATACAAATTGTTACCAATTTTATAATATTTTTTACAAATTGGAAATTACTTAGTAATTTTTGTAATGTATCTTTTACATTACTGTACCAAGGTCATTGTAAAAACAAATGGAATTTAAATTCAGCTATCGTCGAACAGATTTCTTTCAATGATACATCAAAAGATCACAAATCGTATGTTATCGAAGACATTGCCCTCAAAAGTTGAAAAAACTTCCCTTCTTCTTCGTAAATTGGGGAAATCATAAAAATGTAATAAATTATTGTACAAAAACTCTTTTTAAAGTGTTTTTAAGAAATTAGTGCAAACTGTATAGGCGTATTAAGAAAAAGATGTTTAGGGAACCAATCCCCCTAAGTTTTTTCCCAAAATATTTATTTTGACTTTAAACCCTGTGTAACTTTTTATTTTTATTTTAAAACGCCTTAAGGAGAGTAGTGAAGAGGCCACTGATTTTCATAAAAATTATAAACATCTAACTAACATAGAATATAAAGTTAAACTAATTTTTAATTTTTTGGTTCTTTTAAGTCATGAAATACGAATTTGACATATTGAACTAGCATAAATTGTCGTTTTTATCAACTAACAAATGCAATGAATAATTATCGCATCGGTATTATTAAGGTTTTTTACGCATGAGGAACGAGATTCGAACCTTGCCCACCACAATTTCTTTCTTTGCACTTTCTTAATTTGTTTATTGAAAAAATGTCTTAATTTTTTTTATTTTTACCTCATTTAAACTTATTAACTTAAATGAATATCAGGGACCCCTTAACTGTAGTTTTCCCTTCTAAGAATGAATTTTTTAGTCATATTAAAATTATTTTACTATATAGTTTTTATTTTGTGCCTATCATAAATTTCGAGAAATGTTTTTCAACGATACGCGAAATTATAACTCGTAATTGAAGATATTACTCTCAAAAATTGAAAAGAATTTCCCTATTAAAATTCAAAAGTTACTTAGACCAATTTTTTTATATAGACAAAATTTAAATCATAATTTCTAATATTTTTTAAGTATTTTAGGTCAAATTTAGACTTGATATGATAATAAATTTCAACTACAAAGTTATACAATTTTACTTTGTTACTTTTTAATTTCTTGAATCTATTTGTATGGTCTACTTCAGTCTATAGTATTCCAAATTTATTGGTAACATGATACCTTATAAATCATTTCTAAAAAGAATTATTTTGGGTTTCACCTGAATTAAAAATTAATTTTTCCAATTATAATTTTATAATTATAATTATAATTTTTATAATACGCTTAATTTAGTATATTTTTAGTTTCGATGCGAAGTTAAGAAGTTATTGGTCTTGTGATGGTTTGCGTTTTTTTTTATGTCTATCCATAAAAATTCTTAGCTCTCCATGGACTGATTTAATGATGAATACGTCAAAAGAACCCAATTTTAATCTAGTTGAACTTATAAATTAACCAAATAATGAAAAACCCCTTAATTTTTGATATTTATACAAATATTTCAAGATTACGCTACTGTAAAAAACGGCATTTTCAAAAAACATTTTCTGCATTTTAAAACTGCAACAACATCTTTATAAACATTGATGCTAATGAAATTTTAATAGAGTACCCTAGATAAAATATTCTTTCATCGGGTTAGCTTTTTATGACAATCCAATGAAAAACATAAGTACAAGTAGGGTTTGAAAAAAACCACCCATACATGTTAAATTATTTTTTATAACACAGATTTTGGATATGTTTCGGAATGACTGCGTTCTTTAAACTTACATCAAATTAAAGATTTTGAAATGTACTATACGATTTAAAAAAAAATTATCCCGGCGACTGTTCCACTATGAGAAATTAGCCATAAAAGTAAAAAAAAATTCAACATTTTTTTTATAAAAATAATTTATTTAAAGTATGTATTTTTAATATTAAATATCTTCATAAATAATAGGAGTATAGAAATTGATTTTATACTAAAATACGCTAAAAATCATATCACTACAATGAAACTACTTTTAATCAAAATATACTTTGTTAAACCACATTTTTGCGCTAATTCAAATCTACAATAAGATTTTTTCCAGAGCCTCTTATTTTAAGATTATTATTAATTTGTAAAAACGAGTATTTACATATAAATATTGATTTTAATTTGTAATATATTAAAAAATATCTGTGCGAAATTTCAATTCAAAACATAATTATGTTTAATCTATTTTTTTCATCCTTTAAGTTGATTTTTATGAAAGTTGATAACTTAAAAATGTTGAACTTTTAATTAAGTCCAACTTGCAAGATTTAAAATGTTATTTCAATAGAAAATTTTATTAGAATTAAAAAAATGGTTTTGTTTAGATTGATATATAGTCAGGAACTTACATAATTACTATTAACAGCAAATTTATGGAAAAATTCCAACATTTCTATTACTCTTTTACTACTATTAACTCTTGGTGTTTAAATAGATACTACAATTGATATATACAGAACTATATTCTGTATAGTTATCTTATAGTATTTTATAGTATACTGATTGGTTCACCAAAGATTTCGTCCACTAATGTGTTGTTGAATTTCATTTTACACTATATTTTTTTATATGTAAATTCTCGTTTTTAACTAATTAGTCATGATATCAAAAATTAGAGCTGATAAAACAAATCTTATTGTAGATTTGAAATCAGCGCGAAAAATCAATCAAAAAAAATATATTTTTGACTCTAATGAAAATTCCTTGAAGACCATTTATTCATAATTAACAAAAAAAATATTTTATGAACATTTTTACATCAAGCCCTTCAATTTTTATACACGTTTGCCACAGAAGTTACGAAATATACATCTACTTAATAATTTTTATAATTTCTCCGTAAAAATTATAATACTAAATTATTCAATATCAATTTCATACTACATTTAATTTTTATTCATATATTATACTAATAAATCAAAGAACTACTAATCAGAACATAATCAAAGAAATAGAAGTATATATTGTTTTTGGAATAATTCACCAATTTCATAAAATTAAAAAATATCTACAGATTTGCATCGATGCATTTCTTATGATTGTGATTTTAATTACTGTTAGATATCATCTATAATTGTCCCAAATATGCCACATCTTCACTGTGCCGCG